ATTTATTCAAATCAGGATCTAAACAAGATCCACACCTTGCAACTGGATATGTCTTTTAAATCAGTTTTTTAAAAAAACTTCTATTTTTTAATAATTTTAGACTCACATAGAAGTTGCAAAAATAATACAGTTTCTGTGTACCCTTCCCCCAGCTTCCCCCAATGATATCTTACATAATCATAGTATAATTATTGAAACCAGGAAATTGACATTAGTACAATACTATTAAAACTACAGACTTTATTTGGATTTCACTAGTTTTTATATGTACTCATTTTTAAATTTTTTCCTTTTGTATATAGTTCTATGAAATTTTATCACATGTGTAGGTTTGTGGAACCACAATCAGGATACAAAATTGTCACCCAAAGAAAGTCCCTTGTTCTCTGTCTTTATAGTCACTGTCCTCCCCAACTCTAACTCCTGGCAACTGCTGATCTGTTCTTCACTATAATATTGTCATTTTGAGAACTTACATAAATGAAATCATATAGTATATAACCTTTTAAGATTGAATTTTTTCACTCAGCATAATGCCCTTGAAGTCCATCCAAGTTGTTACAAGTATCAATAGTTGCTTTGTTTATTGCTGAGCAGTATTCCATATTAAGTCACTTTTAACTTACTGATGTCCCCTCATCTCTTTTGTTTTCTTGCCGTTTATTTGTTGAGAATCTGTCCTATAGCATTTTCCTCATTCCGGATTGTGCTGATTTCATCCCCCCCGACAATGTCATTTCACTTGTTCCTCTATTTCCAGTCCTTCCTATAACTGAGAGTTAGATTGCCAGGCTTGGTCAGAATTAGATAGTCCGCTGGTGACTCTGAGGCAGGTGTTACTGAAGACACTTGGAGAAAGGATGCTGTGGAAGAAGGAAGAAAGCGCCGTGGGAACTGGGGCAGTCTGAGGAGGCTTCCTGTAGCAGAAGGGCTTTGAACTTGGGTGGTGCTCCAGGCAGGCAGCCCCGGAGGTGAACGTGGCAGAAGAAGGGGTAGAGTTGGACAGAACTTCTGTGCAGGCTTTGCGGTGGGTTCCATGGAAGACTGAGCCTGAGACACTGGTGAACCACACTCCCCAACTATCCCCTCCACTCCTGGGACACCCCTGACCTGGGAACTAACCTAAGTGGTTGGAGAGTATGTACCTGGAGGAGGGGGCATGGCCTATCAGGACATGTTGGAGGTCAGGTCAGGCGGAGACTGTGAAATTATCCTAAGGCCCTTATGCACACCAGGCTTCCACCGCAGTCTCTTGAGGTCTCGTTCCCAGGATGGAAGACCTGAGACCTGGATAGGTGAGGGCAAAGCCTCCAAATCAAGGGGTGGATGGGGAGCTGGGGGGGAGGAGGACCTTGAAGCACAGAGACTGGAGTCTGAGGTTCTCAGGGTCAGGAGGGTCCTCCTGCTCTTCAAAGAGACTGAAACCCTCTGAAGCCCGTGTCACAGGGGGCTGTGCCACTTGAGTGTGCACACTTCCCTCCCGAGAAATGAGTACAGCCATCCAGGCTGCGTGGTTAGACAGCTCTGGTGTGCTGATTGTCTCCTCCTGTGTTGTCCTAGGTCTCTGCCCCTGTCCTCCAGGACCACAGGAACAGTGCAATCCCTCTTTTACGCAAAAGCCTCTGGGTGCTTGAAGGCAGCACCCCCAAAAGATTGGCCACAGCCTTCTGCTGCTTACAAGGGCTCTCACATTTGATCCTCACAGCTCTTCCGTGGGGCACATATTATTGTTGTTGTTATTGTTTCTGTTTTACAGAAGGGGAAATAGGCTCAGAGAGAATAAAGGCCTTGCCCAAGGTCACACAGAAATTTAATGTATATCCTTTTCAACCTTGTCTTCCCCGTCACATTCCCTTGAACATTGTCTTCTTCAAGGTAAAGGAAGTCGAACCTCAATTCCTCTTACTGCCATGAGGGTGTCCTTCGCTTCTTCCTCCATGTGCCAGCATGGAAGACCCAGGATGGGAGATCCTGTCTTCTGGGCAGGGCGGGGCAGAAGCTGAATAGAAACTTTTTCTTGGGAGAGAGAGTGAAGAGAGGCAGGCCCCATCAGGCTACAGGACCTGCCAGTGCCTGGTGGAGTGAGCTGGGGATATTGTAGCTCATTCTGAGAGGAGTGGGGCTGGAGGACTTTTCCTGGCAAAGGAAGGGCTGGGGAGCCCCCAGGGAGAGGCCACCCTGTATCAGTGGAGTCACTGTACAGGCCCACAGGGGCAGGAGCAGGAAGCTGGTCCCAATAAGGCACTTGGAATGGTATGGCTGGAAGATGCTTTTGTGATGCAGATGGGCCAGTTGAGGTCCAGAGCGGGGCAGAGGCTTTCCCAGAGACACACAGCAGGGCAGGAGCACGGGTCTGGAGACCACTCTGGTGCCACTTAGAGCTCCCATCGAGGAGCCTGGGCTGTGCAGTGGGAGAGGGTATGTCCTCAACTAGCTTCTCGCTGGCTCCTACCAACCTTCAGAGACAGGGCCTTATTGGAGCCACTTATACTCAGGACACAGTGGCAGGGAACAGCATGCCATCAGAGAGGGCAGGAGTAACCAAGATGACACGGCTAATACATGATAAAGCCAGAACCTTGTTCTCCATGGTCTGGGTCTTCTCAGCCCCAGCAGAGCCTCCTGAAAGAACACGGTCTCTCGAGCCCAGACTGAGAGCTGCAGGAAGGGGTACAGGTGCTTGAGAGATCTGGACTATCTTTGGCTTCTCCCAGCCTTCCACCTGGCTTCCTTTCCACCTGTCTGTCCACTTTTACTGACACCAGGGGCTCTGTGGATGAGCTGGGAACTTCTGAAGTTCCTTCAAAACGGATCATCTATATTTCCCACAATGTAAGATTCTGTGCTTTTCACTCTTCACCAGGCAAACTCCTGCCCATCCTATAAAACCCAGCTCGGAGCTACAGCAAATGACCACAGACAAGGCCACAGAGGGAGTCACATCACATTCCAAAGAATCTTACAGACCATGATCTCCAACCACAATGCAACATAATTAGAAGTCAACAAGAAAAACATAAACCTCCCATAGGCTGAGAAACTAAAAAACACACTTCTAAATCATCCATGGGTTAAAGAGGAAATGACAATAAAATTATGAAATATTTAGAACTGAATGATAAAGAAAGCACAAGCAGTTTCTATTTCCTTTGTAAAGTCAAGTCCCTGAGCCCATGTGCTACGTGCCTTCCATTGTACCCAGATGCACACTTCTCCCTCCTCCCCCCAGCTCTAGGCCCCAGGAGGCCGACCTCTATGTGCTGCATCAACAGGTTCCCTTGTCTTTGGCTTCAAGGGTAGGATCTGGCCAGTGGGGAAACCAGGCCAGAGATCAGAGCAAGGGAGAGAAGTGAGGCCCCTTTTTCCCCCAGTCCTTCACAGTATGATTGCTGTGGGCTGGGTATGCCCCTCGAGCTTAGGCCACAGCTCCTATCAGTAGCCCCCTCCTCATAGCTCCCACTTTTACCACTCCCTCCCAGCACCCCTTCAGGCTAGGGTAGACAGCAAAGGGCTGCTCTTGCTAGCCCTTTGTGTGGTCTACATATACCCTGACTACACCTCTAAATGATGCCTTCTTGAAACTCTCCTCAAAGTGCCCAATTTGGGTGTTCCACATGTTTCCTGTAGATAACCTCACTCTTAGAAAGTGCTAGCCATCAGTCTTCTCACTTATAGAAGACTGAGCTCTGACTTTGTGTTATCTCTGTGTGTCGTCCCCCACTGAGGACCTGTGGTCAGCTGAGGTCAGGGGCTGAGGCAGCTTCATCACCTGATCCCCTGCTCTCAGTGCAGAGTCATGCTCAGTAACGGGTGTTGATTAGGATATCAAACAAATGAAAGACTAAGTTTGAATTCCTTCTGCATACACTAGAGCACGCAAATGTTTGTTTATAGGGGATTTGGGGCAGAGTTAAGACTCAGACAGCAAAAAAAAAGAAAACTTTATACGGGGACAAAAGTAGATGCTCAACAAAAGAATAAATCCTCGGTTCTGTGAGCTGGGATTCTTAAGGATCCAGTGTATTCTCATGCCATCTAGCAAGCAGAAGATCCAGACACAAGGGGAGCCCAGTGAGGCATCTGCACCACAATAAATGCCCACCTCCAGCCTCCAGCTCTCCCCTACCTCCTCCTGCTCACCTCCCACACCCCTCCAGGGTGACTTCAGCAGCCCATCTGTCTGTCTTGGCCCTTCTACCCTAGAAAATCTCCAACCTTCCCTCCCATCCCAGGACAGAACCAGCCAACTGGTCCCTGGGCCTGGGGCCCACAGTGTGCATTGAGCTGGTGTAGGATATCTGTCTGCCCTCAGGGGAGGAACCTAGGTAGACAAGTAAGGAGAGGGGATCAGGTCTTGAAGGGTTTGGATTTGGTTGGAAGGAAGGAGAAAAAGAAGATATTCCAAAGTGAGAACAGCAGGAACTGAAGGTCTGGTGGTGGGAAATGGGGTGACTCTGGGTGAGGAGTGAGGAGAATCAGCCCAGTCTGAGCAGTGACGCCAGCCCTGGTGGAGGAGGTGAAAGTCTGTGATTTGAGCACTCTTCACTGCCAAGTGCTGGGGTGAGGGACTCACTCATGATTCCCAAGACATTCATTCATTCAGTAAATGGGTACTAAGTGCCTGCTATGTGCCAGGCACTCTGCCAGGAGCTGAGGGCATGGAAGTGTATAGGGCAGACCTGATCCCTTATTGAACTCAGGGACAAGTGAGACACACTTGATTCTAGGAGGGAAAGGAAACCACCATTATCTAGCAAATCTTTTGTTTCTGCTCCAGACAGAAGCTGAGCTTGTCCCCATTTTACAGTCGAGAAAGCTGAGGCTGCCTCCTTGGTAAAAAAGTCTGAGACACTGAGAGTGCCACCTAGGGAAGCTGGAAGTGCGATATGGACTTTACGGAAAAGCGACAGAGAGTGTGTCTGTGCATGGGGGGGGGGGGGGCCTTTCCCCGCCCCTTCCCCGCCCCTGGACCGCGGCGTGGCGGGGCCGGGGAGGACCGGGGCGGAGCCGGCGTCGCCTCGGGGGCGGGAGGGCGAGAGCGACCCGGCAGGGCAGGCCGGCGGACAGGCGAGAGAACCGGCAGGGCGGGAGGACTGGCAGAAGAAGGCGACCCACGGCGCTGGGGATGTGACCCCGCGGCCAGACGAGGACCCCGTGAGTGAGCGCCCGCGCCCCAGCGCCCCCGCCGCGCACGCGGCCCAGCCTTACTTCCACTTTCATTTCTTCGACTGCCCCCGGCGTGGCACTGTCCGGAGGCGACCTCCGCCCGAAGGCAGGCTGGCCGCAGTCCTCGGTCCGGGGTCTGAGGCTCAAAGCTACGAAAGTCGGGGTTGAGGGGGTGGCGGTGTTTGAAAGGGGCGTGTCTTTCGGAGCGGAAATGTCAGGCCTGCCCCTATGGGTCCTACGACCGGTCTGTCCTGGCAGCTGGGCGAGGGAGAGGGGTGGGGGTCGGGGGGTCCCGGGGGAGGCCGAGCGCCAGGGAAGAGCATGGAGTCTCTGCCTCTGCTTTTCTCTTGGATCTCTGCCCTGCAGGGCGCCCGCCACATGGCACTGCCCTAGGCTGGATTCTGGGTTCAAACTGGGGCCATCCCCTGGCCAAGATCCTGGGCCAGGCCTGGGGAGTGCAGGTGTGGCCCTGGCAGGGGGCTAACTGTTAGAAACAGTCAGGGCCACTTTGTGGTCTTCATTTGGGAAGCCCAGATCCCCCCTCAGGGTGTGAGCCATCACTGGCCACTTTAGGAGTAAAAGGACACCCAGAGTTAGGAAACTGGCTAGGAGGGGGAATTGCCAGGGTTCAGGGAGGGGACAGAGGCTCTGTGAGGGAAACTCAGTAAGGGCATGGGAGTGGAAAGTGAAGAAACAAGTGGCATGGATGGAAGGGCACCTATCAATCCCCCCACACCCAAGCTTACATTTTCCTGGAGAAGGGCCCAGACCTTGAAATTCTGCAGCAGGAAGGTGGGACTCTGGCTCACTGGTCAGGACACCCAAGCTGCTTGTGGGGGAAGAGGAGGGGTGCTTAGTGTGTTGGAGGAGCAGGAATTAGGTTGGTCTAGTCGGTGGGAAGATGTGTCCCCTCTTCCTGCACTCCCATCCTTTTCCCTTATCTCCACCAGACCAGCGACAAGTCAGTGCAGGAAAATGGCCCTTTGCTCGTTGTCATGGGCTGAGCCCTACCTTTTCCCAGTTCCCTCTTCTGCCGTTGAAGATCCCCTGCCTGTAACTTGCTATGTGAACACAGTCTCCTCAAGTCCCCTTTCTGGGCCTCAGTTTCCCTATCTGTACAAGAAGTGGGTTGGACCAATTATCTCTCAGGCCTATTTCAACCCCGAGATTCTTTATTCTAAGCTTTCCTTGAAGCCTGAGCATCAACTGTGTCGCAGGCTCTGACCTAGGCTGGGGGACAGCAATGGCCAAGGAGCAGCGTCCACCCAAGGAGAAGGAGCTCTGGGTTCAGAAGAGGGGCCTGTGGGAGGAGGTAGCCTTCCACCTGACCATGTGTAGTCAGACAAAGGGACCAATGTAAGAAAACACACAGAGGCAGGAGGGTGGGGGGCATGTTCAGGGATCAGGAGGAAGCCCAGGGTGGTGGGTGTAGGGAAGTGGGGCAGGAAAGGTAGGGTGCGGTATTGAATGCCAGGGTGAGAGTCTATTGGTAACTTTCAGTCAAGGGGGCTGTGTGAATGTGGAGACCCAGGAACCTCACCTGAATTTAGTGTGAGCGATTTTGGAACCACCTGCCCAAGCAGAATTTAGAACGCAGGCGGCAAGTAAAGCGTGGAAATCTCCTCTTGGGTCAGGAAGCTCAGGTCCCACTCTGGGGACTTCTTTGGGTGAGAAGTCAAGGGGCAGAGGATGGATAAGATGACCTGCCACATCTTTGAGGTTTTTTTCAAAAAGACAAGATTCTGCTGGGAGACCTGCCCCTACTCTCCAAACTCCTCTCATTTTACTTAACTCTCCCCTCCTGGCCTGCCTGATGTGGGTACAAGGAAGAACCCTCATTCCAAACTTCTCCTCTACTACCTTGACTTGTTACCTGCTGTGACACCTCCCCCCCCACCCATATGTGCTGTGTCTTTGGTTATACACAGTCGTCACCCTGTTCCCATCATTCCTTCCCCAGTCCTGTCGCAGCATTACTAGAGATATGAGAAGGGAAAAGGCTCCAGTGTCAGCTCTGAGGCCAAGGCCAGGCTTTTGGCTGTATTCAAGCCTCAGTCCAGGGCTAGAGTCCAGGACTCACATTGACCAGGGTCAGGGCAAGGTCAGAGTTCAGCCTGGAGCCAGAGCTCGGTTCTCAGTCTGGGGTTAGGGCCAGTGCTCAGTTTGTGCCTAAGTTCCAGTCTCAGCAGGTACCTAGGTCTGCATTTCCCAAGAGCTCACACACTCACAGGGGCGATGAGATGTGAGATGACTGCCCCAGGAGTCCCAGAAACCTCGCCTGTACCAGAGTGACCCAGGAGGTATCAGAGTGACCCAGGAAGTTGCATGAGCCAATTCCATGCCTGCTACAGAGGTCACCCAGCCATGGTAGAGCTGGGACTAGAACCCAGGACTCCTGCCTCCAAGCCTCGGGCTCTCATTGTTGTCCCCAAAGTCTGTTCTGAGTCTGAGATCCTTCAATTCTAAAAGGCAAAGCAAATTTGTCTGAATTCTAGATGGGCCCAGCTGGGTGGATCTGACTGCATTCTCCTACCTCCCGGTGCTAGGCACATAGTAGGTGCTCTAGAACGTCTCCTGAATGGCAGGGGCTGTGGCAGGGGCCAGTGGCTTGTTTGGGTTTGGGTTTGGGTTTCAGGCTGGAGGAGGCTAGCTTTGGGGGCAGGATCTCCAGCCACTGTTGGAGGAAGTGGCACCCTTCTAGACCTGCCACCCTTCCCCTCTCCTCCAGTGCCTGTGGCCACACTCAGAGGCCACACAGCTGGCCATATGAGAGCTCTTTCCTCTTTCAGGGTAATGAAAGGAAAGGACATTTTTGGTAGAAAAGTCTCTCCTGCTCCCTGGGAATCCCCGGTGGCCGGATGGACTACGGGATATCCCAGAGGAAGCCAAAGGCGGGGCCCTCCCCCATCCCCTCTGCCTAGCACAATGCGGCCAAGCTCTCCCACGCTGCACCAGCTGGCCTATGAGGCCCCCAGAGGTTGTCACGTCCAGGCCCCTGCCTCCTGAGGGGCCTGCAGGAAGCCTCTGCCACCTCTCTAATGGTCAACCACAAGTCTGAGGAGCACCTGTTTAGAGCCCAGGCCCAGCCCTCTGTAAGATGCAATGAAAGTGGAGAGGAAACAAAACAAGATGGGAGGGCTGTGGGCGCTTGGCAGCAGGGGCTAGGGTAGCCTGGAAATAGGGCAGGGGTGCTGGACCAAGGGCATGAGGAAGATTTAGATTGCGGACAGAGGCTGCAGAGGTTGGCCAAAAGCTCAGAAGTGAGAGGGAGATGATGTGTTGGGAAGTCAAAGCCCTTTTGGTAAGGATCTGACCACCGTGCTCCCCTGTGCCCTTGGCCTCAGCGGGTCATCCACAGGTCCTGCCCCTGGACCCCTGGCCCCCGACCCAGCCTGGCCATGGCGCTGTGCCTGAAGCAGGTGTTCGCCAAAGACAAGACATTCCGGCCGCGGAAGCGCTTCGAGCCTGGCACACAGCGCTTTGAGCTGTATAAGAAGGCACAGGCATCACTTAAGTCAGGCCTGGACCTGCGCAGCGTGGTGAGGCTGCCCCCTGGCGAGAACATCGATGACTGGATCGCCGTGCACGTGGTGGACTTCTTCAACCGCATCAACCTCATCTACGGCACCATGGCGGAGCGCTGCAGCGAGACCAGCTGCCCGGTCATGGCCGGAGGGCCCCGCTACGAGTACCGCTGGCAGGACGAGCGCCAGTACCGGCGGCCTGCCAAGCTCTCAGCGCCACGCTATATGGCCTTGCTCATGGACTGGATCGAGGGCCTCATCAATGACGAGGATGTCTTTCCCACACGCATTGGTGAGTGCCACCTGATGGGCAGGTCAGGCCTGGCCAGGGAGGGACAGAGCCACTGGAATCCATTTCACAGATGAGGCATGGAGTTTGATACAGCAATTCGGGGTCGGGGGGTGATTTTCATCCCTATCTTTTTTTTTGGTGAGGAAGATTGTCCCTGAGCTAACATCTGTGCCAGTCTTCCTCTGTTTTGTATGTGGGATGCCGCCACAGCATGGCTTAAATGAGTGGTGTGTAGGTTGGTGCCGGGAATCCAAACCTGCGAACCCCGGGTTGGCCCCTCATCCCTATTTTATAGAGGAGAAAACTGAGGCTCAAAGAGGTTAAGTGTCTGCTCAAGATCAGGCATCTTGAGCTGGGACTGACTGACTCCCAGTTTGGGGCTCTTCTTGTCTGAAACTTGAATGTCCCTCTAGGGACCACCTGGCAGGGCCACTGTGATTCTCAGAACCTTCCAAAACAGGTGGCTCAGAGTGCTCCTAGTAGGTTGCCAAGCTTGGGCTGATCTGACTTGCAGCCTCCTGGAAGTTCCCTCTGACTCCTGGCCCCAGGAAAGGGAAGGGGCTGGGGACTGGGTGGGCCAGGTGGTATCTCCTCAGAGGGCTCTGAGGGCAGAATTTTCCCTTGTTAGGCCCAAGCCATGGGGCCTTCTCTTATCTCAGCTGGGCAGCCTGGGCAGGTGCGGGTGGGAAGGAGAAATGAGTGATGTCACCCTGGCCAGGCTTCACCACCCAAGGGCAACAAGAGGGGGTGTTGGCCCAGGAGCTGAGCAGGCATGACACTGTGTTCATCACAGCAGCCCCACCCCCACCTGGCCTCATGTTCATCCTTGTGAAGGCTATGGGAATCAGAGATGGGTGGGGCAGGGTGGTCAAGCCCAGAGGGCAGAAGTCTGAATGTAGAGGGAAGCTGGGCACTGAGTCACAATTCAGTGCCCACGGCCCCTCCGCAGCTGGGGTCCTGCCATTTCCTGCACTATCATGCCCAACAATGGGAATCTTCATTTCACATGGGAGGAAACCGAGGCCAAGAGAGGGACAGCACACTGAATCAGGAGGGATTCAGAACTGCAGCTCAGGTCTCTTAGGGTCCAGGCCCAAGTCTAGATGGGCAGGACAAGTCTGAGGGACCTGGGCTGGGCCTGGAAGGGCTCACAGGGAGGCAGGGCTCAACTCCACCCAACCCCACCTAAGGAGAAGAGCACCATGGAGTGGGGTGGGCCAGTGTGGGGCTGTGTCTGGGCTCTTATTCCCTTCTAGCCTTGACTCCCCGGGCTGGTGAGACCCCAGCTGCCTGTGCCTTAACCTTGGGATGGCTCTGCCACAGCAGAGAAGCGGGCATAGCCACCAAGATCTCCACCTTGAGTGTCGGGGGCTGTGTAGAAATTGTGCCTTTTTCACAGGTTCCTGGAGCTTCTCTCAGGCAAGGTGTGTGGCATTTATCTCTGAGGGGTGCTGCAGTGCAGTGCAAGGAGGGTTTGAATCCTGCCTCCAGTCCATACTGATGAATACTTATGAGGCCTTGGGCAAGTGGCTCCACCTTTATGCACCTCCATCTTATCATATGTAGAATGGCTACCATACCAGGCAGAAGGTACAGAGGGCCCAGCAGAGGGCCTGGCTCGTAGATGGAGGGTTCTTTCTAAGTGTGATTGGATAGATGAATGAATGAGAGATGTCTGAACTAGTTTTTGAAGATTTAGTAATTCTCAGGATTGGGATCTGAGGCCTGCTGTGTGAATGTTGTGAAGAGGAAGGAGCCAGGTGGGGTTGGAGAGGGAGGTCAGGATCAGATCATGAAAGGCCTTGTGCAGGCGCCACGCTGGGAAGTCAGGACTTAATCCTGAGGCTCATGGTTTTAAAAGTGGACCCCAGATGTTGATGAACTCCCCTTGGAATTGTATCCAAGGGCATCATTTGAGAACATCTGCAGATGCACATGTTTCTGGGGAGAATTTGGACATAACTTTCATCATAGTCTAAGAAGGGTTGGTCGGTCAGTGACCCCAACAAGGTTGCAGAGTCCTGCTCGGGGTGAGGGGAAAATGTGGAAGAAGATTTGTATTTCAGCAGGGGAGAGGCACAGTCAAATTTGTGCTTCATTGAAAAGGGAAGGATGGGAGAAAGTGGTCATGATCTCTCTCTGTCTCTCACAGGGAAGTGTGCTAGGGAGGAGGGCATCCTGGGCCAAGGCTGCCTGTGTCGGGGAGGGCAGGGCTGGGCAGAGTTTCATCATCAGGGTGCTGATCCCCCCACTTCTCTCCATCCCCGCTCCTAGGAGTTCCCTTCCCCAAGAACTTCCAGCAGGTCTGCACCAAGATCCTGACCCGCCTCTTCCGTGTCTTTGTCCACGTCTACATCCACCACTTCGACAGCATCCTCAGCATGGGGGCTGAGGCGCATGTCAACACCTGCTACAAGCACTTCTACTACTTCATCCGCGAGTTCAGCCTGGTGGACCAGCGGGAGCTGGAGCCACTGGTGAGGCCAGGCCCCCACTGCCTTCCCCAAGCAGGGCTAGCCTTTGTGTCTTCAGATCCAAAGGCTACCTGCTTTAAGAAAATCCAGTACCCAGGTGGATAAATTAGGGGAAGGCAACTCTTTTAACCATGGATTCTGCACTTTAATAGAGAATTCATTCAAGTGTCAGCTTACAAACCCAGATCTGCAGCCTGGAGTTGGGAGCGGGGCAGGGAGGCGCCAGGCTGAAGCAGGAGAGCAAGCAGGCCCTATGGTTTGGGAAGGGGCTGTCTGGTAGGGTGAGCTCTGACTGACCACTTCTCACCTTGTGTCTCTGCAGAGGGAGATGACAGAGCGGATCTGTCACTGAGCCCAAGCCTGGACGTTGTTGCCCGTCAGATGGATTATCTCTGTACAGAGTGGCTAGGGGAGAGGACCCTCAGGAGTCTGGTGGCAGAGGAACCTGCAGGCCCTGGGACCCCTCCACACACCCAAAGCCCCTGGACTTCTGGTTCTCAAAAGTCTGCCCACATGTCTCCCCGACTGCTTATGAATGGGGAAGGGGAGAGCTTAGAGGTGGGCAAGGAGAAGGGAAGGAACAGCTAACCCTCTGGCATGAAGTCTAGGGGCGGGGTAGGCTAGAGAGTTTCTGCTCTGATACTTGACCCTTCCATGGTGGTTCCCAAGTGTATTTGGAAAATGTGGATGTGGCTGAGGTGATGGCAAGAAAGATACAAGAAAGCAGTCTGTGTGTGAGTAAGCACAGATAACTGTGTGTGTGTGTGTGTGTATGATTTTGACTGTGGGGTATGTCTGTGACAGCTAGCTCCCTTGACCCTCCCTGGCACACAGTAGGCCCTCCATAAATACTAGGTACATGGAAGGAAGGAAGGAAAGAAGAAAGTGAGCAGGGATTGGGACCATCAGACCATGACCACTGTAGGAGTGATGACAGGTCAGTGTCCCCACTCAGTGTGTCTGACCATGTGTGTAAGTACACAAAATGTGGCTGTAGATGTAGCTCTATGTTTGAACCTTCCAGGCTACTGTCTTCCGTAAGCATGAGTTCTGGGGAGCTGCAGGGAGGTAGGAAGGGGAGCCTTGCCCTGGGTACCTAAACCCCTGGCCCACCACAGTCACAGGTTCTGATTTGCTCAGCCGGAAATGCTCATCAGCTATCCTTTCACTCATCCCTCTGCCTGTAGGAAGGCTTGATTATAGACAGCCTCCTGGGGATTGGGAGTGATCTGTCATGTTTACAAAGGTCTCCTGGTCCTTAAATTGGGAATCATGCTCCAGTCTAGCTCCTAGAATCTATAGACTTGGCTCCCAGGATCTGAAGCCCAGCACAAGATAATCCTCCAACCCAAGGAGCTAGTGGAACTTGAACTGGGAAATCTGGAGACTTGTCTCCCATCGTGGGACATCGAGGACCGTGTAGCTAGTGAGTGGACTCTTCCAGGCTTGGAGAGTCCTTATTCTGCAAGATCCTGCCTCCTTCCCAACCATTCTTGAGACATTCCAGCTGGTTGGATCTCAGAGCATAGCTGTCCACAGAGAAACTGGGGTGTTCATTCAGCACTCCATTACTCAGCAGGCCCCTGCCCAGCCCTGTGCCCAGACCCACAGGTGGGGAAACTGAGGCAGAGACAGGGCTCTCCCCTCCCAGAGCCTCCACACTGGGAGGCCAGATGGAGAGCCAGAAAGGACCTGAGGATCATCCAGTCTCACTCACAGAATCATCCACGTACACAGGAGGAAACTGAAGCCAGGAGGAAAGGAGGGAGAAGCTGTACAAGGCCTCACAGCAAAGTTTTTGTGGAGCTGGAGTAGAAACCAGGGGTCCTGACTCCCACCCAGGGCCTGTGGATTGCTACATAGGAAGATGAGATGCACGTGGAAAGAGGGTTTGACAGGCTGTCTCCAGGACACAGCTGTTCCTGCTTTGAGCAAGGATGTCTAGTCTGATGCCAGAGTGCCCTACTACCTCTCGGGTCTGCTGAGGTTGTCAGCTGAGCCAAACCTCCAAAATCATGCCTGTCTCCGTGGCCCAGCAGCTGCCTGATCTCTGGGGAAGCAGATGGGGCTCCTGGGGCCAGCCAGCTGCACCTGGGACTGCTGCCTCTGGAGAAGTTTCCCTGGAAACACACTGGCCCAGCAGCTTTGCCAGAGACTCTCGGGTGAGGGCGTGGGTCAGAGATTCCCCCAGGGAGGACTGCACTGGGAGATGAATTCTAGGCTGTGGCCATTGCTGATTGCAGACGGGGGTAGGGGCGAAATCTATTTTTGTGAAATAGAGGGAAGACTTTATTATTGTTATTTTTGGTAAAATAAAGGAGGCAAACTAAAGCGGCACTGGTGGGAAGCTGTGGTCTGAGTGCCACATGGCTCCTGGGCAGGCTGTGGAAGGAACTGGGCCAAATGGGGCAGGGAGGGCTTTTTGTCCTGAGATCCTCGGCCATGTGGAGGGCTGGCTAGTGTGGTCTGGTCTGGCCTAGCTCTCCTGGGTGGAGACAGCAAGGTTTTCCCAGGCCTCTGGGAATTCTGGACCCAGAACTCCTGGGCTAGGCTAGGACCCTCAGAGTAGGGAGGGCTGGCCCTTGCCTTCAGGGAACTCAGTCTCTTGGGAGAGTCTCCTTGTTTCAGCTCAGGTCACCTGGCACTGGCTATTCCTACCCAACCCCCTTAATCTGGGTGGTTTATTGGAGCTAATGGGTTAAGCGACAACAGAAATAGTCTTAATCCTAATCACAGCAGAGGAAGCCCTTCTCAAGAAAAGGCTATTTGTTGGGTGCTGGCCAGAGCTCAAAGTGGGGGTGGCAGGACACGGGGCTGACTCCTGAGCTTATTCCCGGGAGACACTTGCTGTCATTCCACTGCCGGTTACCATCCAGTGCCCAGACAAGAGTTGAAAAACAGCTTGGTTCTTTTTTTTTTTTCCCCCCTTTTCCTCCCCAAAGCCCCAATAGATAGTTGTATGTCATAGTTGCACATCCTTCTAGTTGCTGTATGTGGGACGCGGCCTCAGCATGGCCGGACAAGCAGTGCGTCGGTGCGTGCCCGGGATCCGAACCTGGGCAGCCAGTAGCGGAGCGCGCACACTCAACAGCTAAGCCACGGGGCTGGCCCAGCTTGGTTCTTAAGACTCAGCAAAGGCCCACCTAGAGCTCTCTCCTCTACCTGGGGAGACAGCCTGACTTCATGCCCTCCTGGGAGGCAGAGGCCAGGGTTTCAGTCCCCGCGCAGCCCCTGAGGTACCAGGGCCGGCCCTTTCCCCTCTAGACCTCAATTTCCTCATCTATTTCTTGACCAGGTGTGGGAGTGAGGAACTGATTGATCTCTAAACTTGATTACTCACAGTCTGTGGATCATTCACAATGATAACAATAATTGCTAATACTCACTATGTGTCAGGTACAGTGCTAAATGCTTGACATATAATAGCTTGTTGAATCAAGTTTGTCTTGGGCTAGTTGCCTGGCTCCCTTCCTGGCTCCCAGTATCCCTCCCTTCACTGCTCTAGGATCTCTAAGGCCCTCCACTCTGCTGCCCCTTCTTCTGGCTCACCAGAGGAGGCCGGGTCCAGCATTCTAAAAGGTGGCTCTGCTTGCACACCTCCTATGACGGGTCACTTATTACCTCTTCAATTACTGGACAGCTCAGACTCTTAGAGAGTTCCAGCTCTGGGCCCATAGTTGTTTTGAAATACACCATGGCAGTGAGGATAGATTTATCTCAGAACCGTGTGGCCAAGCCCTGCACCTTACAAGGGAATTTCTGAGTACATTAGGAAGCCATCACAAAACTGCTTGGAAAAATTCAGAGAGGGATGCTTGGAGAAGACCAGACAGATCTGGTCTGAGAGATCAGAGAGAAAGGAGGAGACAGCAGGGAGAGCCGGGGTTCTCAGCAACACAGAGAAAAGAGCCCCTTGTAGGGCAAAACTTGGCAGGAGAGGGTGCTAGGAGAAGCAGTGTATTGGGAATAGAGGGACAGTGGGGGCAGCCAGGCTGTGGAAGGCTTTGTTTTCTCATTGGCTCAGGATCCATAAAAATATTTGGAGCAGGGAACAAGGAAGCAAACCATTCTCCCACCTTGGGGCAGAGCATCCACCTGTTGAGTCAAGGCTGCCACCCCCCTTGGCCCTCAAGAACACTGCAGCTTCTTCGAGGTTTCCTGCTGCCACTCCCATCCCTACTTCTGTGAGCTATGTGGAGCTCTGCCTGATTTGGGGGATCCCTGCCTGAGCCCTCATCTCTGGCGTTAACTGAACTTGGTTGCCATGTGGGGGACATAAAAATTTTGAGAACCTGGATTGGAACACAGGCCTGAGTGACTCAGGGCCAGCTAGCTATTGAGACATTCAGGGAACAGAGAGGGGAACAGACCAGCATGGCCTCTGAGGACATGAAGCTTGGGTGAGCCTGGAAGATGATGGTGAGAGAGGTCAGGATATACACGGGCCTTCAGGTCAGACTGAGGGATTCTGGAAGCCTGGAAGAAGGTCTCCCTCTTCAGTCTTCACCCAGACTGAGCAATCTAGCAAAGCCCTGAATGTTCCCGACCTCCTTCCATCAAAAGGATGAGGAAACTGAGCCCAGAGGGGGAAAGGCAACAAACGGTTGTCAGGTGGATGATGGGAAGGAAGTCCAGGAGGCTCTTTAACTAGCATTGCTCACCAGACCCTCACAACAATCCTGAGACAAGCAGGGAAGGGATGCTGACTTCCATTTCACAGCGGAGGAAACACTCGAGTCAGGATCTGAATTAAACCTAAGTCAGCGCTCTCGTTCTCTCATCACACTTGCAGCCTGGGGGAGGGACGGGGCATGGTTGAAATACTACCTTATTTGCAGTTGGTTTTCTCCAAGAAATGAACTTTTAAGTTTTTTATTTTAAACTACTGGGGGTAATGCTTTATTTACTCAAGGAGAAACTCTCATGGTGAAATTATAGGCATGTAATTTTATATTAAGAGTTTTTACAGAATTAGCTCTTTTATTAGAAAAGACCGGCAGCATTTCCCCATAAGTAAAAGGCATTTAAAAATGCCTTCCTGGCATGCAGAAGCTCTCGGTAAATGTTAATTACACCTGCCGCTGCCAGGCCTCCTCCCCGGGACGCTTCCCTGGCGTCCACGACTTCACTCGGAAACGGCAGCGTCGAACGGAGCTAAGCCCCACCCCCTACCCCAGCAATCTCCCCGCCCCTTTCTATCACGCCTGCGCAATTTACTTAGCCCGCCCCACCCTCTCCCTGAGTAGCCATCAAGGCGCATGCGCAGCTCCGCCCCCTCACGCCCCTCTCCAGTCGGGCCCGCCCCCTGGGTCTGGTACCGCCTCTTCCGCGTTCTCGGCGGAGCGATCTGCAGGTGGGGGTGCGCGCCAACCGGGACGTGGAGAGTCAGCTGAAGTGAAGGCAGAACGGCGAGGTATCCCTCCGAGCACAATGGGGCGGGGGTCTGAAGGAGTCGGTGTGCCCGGGACGGGGCGGTCTCGGCCTTCAGACCGGCCCGCGGTCACGACCCGATTCTGCTGCGAGGGGACCGCCGAAGGAGACACTTTTTTAGGGCTGTCTTCAGGGCTCCGTCTCTGACGAGCTCAGGGCGCAGCGTGTGTCCCCCGTCCCGGCTCAGCCCGTGCCTGGGGTCGGGCGTGGGTTGTGACAGGTGTCCGAGGTCGCAGCTCAGCCTGTGGCCGGTTTGAGACTCAGTCCCTACCGGGTTGTATGGCTGGGCTCAGGGCTCAGGAAGTCCAACATCATGAATAGTATTTCATGTGAGGAATTTATTCTGTGTACTACGTTATTTTAAAGTTAACTGTTTTCCTTTAGAAGCTCCTGACATGCGCGGGTGGCCGTAGAGTGGAGAGAAGTCATAGTGTCAGGCGCAGTCTCTCTCCGTG